GCCTCTTAGCAGTTGGCTCTTTTCATCCCATGGAGTTGCGTCAGCTCATCCTGTGTCTGGCTGCATCTACAAAACACTGTGCTACATTTTAACACTTTTTTATTTTTTAAATATATGTTTATTGATTTCAGAGAGGAAGGGAGAGGGAGAGAGATAGAAGTATCCATGATGAGAGAGAGTCATTGATCGGCTGCCTCCTGCACACTGGGGATGGAGCCCGCAACCTGGACATGTGCCCTGACCAGCAATCGAACCGTGACCTCCTGGTTTATAGGTCGACGCTCAACCACTGAGCCACACCGGCCGGGCTACACTTTAACATGTAGCAAGAAATGACATTTAGGACTGCCGGGCCCTGGAGACCCTGTGTGTGCTCCATGACAATCTAATGGTACTATGGAGGCTGCTTGTCCTGCGAAGCCTAAAACTACCGCCTGGCAGTGTTTGCCAACCCCGGGTTCAGCGGGAAGCCCTGAGTCTCGCCCATGAGTCCCGGATGGCATGGTTACTCGGGAAGGAAAGGGAGTTAATATTAACCAGCTGCGAGTTTTAGTAACTGATTTCTGCCCTCATACCTAGCCCGGCATTCCCACCAGGGGCCCCAGGAGAGATTGCTGACGTACAAAACCCAAAGTGAAAAGATTGTCGGAAACCAACCAGCTTCCCACTTTTTAAATTCCTTCTTTTGTGTGACCCAGGAACTAGATCTGAAAGTCATCTTTATTTTTCTACTTCTAGTTTCTCTTTTTTCTCAGAGATAAAATGTTAAAAGCATTTCCCTTCCCTTGTTCTTTCTCTTATTCAGATATAAATAAAAGGGAAACAGCTTTCGATGTCCAGTTTTACAAGGATCAACACTAGGAATATATTAAAAGTTGTTTTAATCTACTCAGTGGTTGAGCATCGACCCCTGCACCAAGGGGCCACTGGTTCGATTCCTGGTCAGGGCACATGCCAGGTTGCTGGCTCCATCTTGCTGCAGAGTCCACAGATCCTGGCCCCTGGCCTTGCCCTCCGGCATCAAGGAGCCACCCCACTAGCAGCCCAGCAGACAGCCGCACAGAGGGCTGTGGTGGCACCAAGAAAGCACGTGTCCCTTCCTCTAAGGGGTCTCTCTCCCAGACCAGGAACTCCCACCCCCTGGAAAGATCCCAGTCCATCTTCCAGCTTGCACGCCTGGCCCCCTGCACGCCCGCCTCCAGCGGCCAGCGGCGGGAGAGATGTGTTTGAATGTGTGTGGCGCCTGCACCATCGTGACATGGGGCAGCTCTACGTCTCTCTAGGGCATCTGTCTCTGAGTCCAAATAAGATCTGGACACCAGCTGCCCTTGCAGCAAACTTTGGTTTCCATGGTAACTGAGCCATCCGCTCTTCCTGACTTGGGCAGGGCCAGCAGCACCACTGTGGTCTCAGCTCCAAAACGCCACATGCAGCTGGTCACTCCAGCGCCTCTGGCTGCTGCGGGCCGCGGGCCGGGCCAGGCGGGGGCCAGATGGGGCAGAGGGGCTCCCTGCTGGCTGCAGCGTCTTTGGCCCTGGGAGGGAGTGGGGAGACAATGCTTTAATCCTGATGGGGTTCAGGAGGGCCCAGCCCTTCCCTTGGCCACCTGTGTTCTGTTGGGTTAACCAGGCACCGCCTCCCAGACCGGGCTCTGTCCATCAGAAGTGGCCGTGGTGTCCGGCCCTGGCAGTTCCCGAGGCTGGGAGCTGTGGCGAGCTGGGGACCGGGGCGGTGGCCCGGGGGGCGGGGGCGGGGAGGGAGACTCCTCTCCTCTTGGTCCTTTCTGAGGGCGAGACCAGAGCTCCGCACCTGCCCACACTTCGCCCAGCCCTGGGGCCCAAGGAAAGACCCGGAATCTGTCTCCGATCAGAGGAGAGCGAGGAGACATGACAGCAGAACACAGGAGGGTCCCCGGAAGACGCGGGAGATCCTAGGAAAGGCTGCAGTGAAGGGAATAGTGTTGCACCAAATTAATGTCTTGCTTTTGTCATTGTACTGTGGCTATGCCATGTGTTAACAGTAGGGGGCGCAGCTGCTCTATGGAAACTATCTTGGCACCTCTTCTGTGAGTCTAAACTATTTTAAAATAAAAAGGTTTTTTAAATCGTGTATTTTTCTCCATGAAAATAAAAGGAGGCACCGTCTCTCATCTCTGCTGCAACGACTGTAAAATAATTCTGTCGTGCGCCTGATTTCTTTGCCCCTCCCATGCCCCGTCTGGCGCAGCCATGTCACCCAGACCACGGGGCAAAGGTCCACAGAGGCCACGGGGAAAGAGGACAGCTGGCCTCTTCTCCTAAAATACATTTTTATTGATTTCAGAGAGGGAGAGAGAGATGGAAATATCAGTGATGGGAGAGAACCATTCATTGCCTCCTGCACGCCCCACACGGGGGATCAAGCCTGCAACTCGGGCATCGAACCGTGACCTCCTGGTTCATAGGTCGAACCTCAACTACTGAGCCATGCTGGTGGGGCTGGACTAAATTCTTTTTTTAAAAAAATATATTTTATTGATTTTTTTTTTTTTACAGAGAGGAAGGGAGAGGGATAGAGAGTTAGAAACATCGATCATCTGCCTCCTGCACACCCTCTACTGGGGATGTGCCCGCAACCAAGGTACATGCCCTTGACCGGAATCGAACCTGGGACCTTTCAGTCCGCAGGCCGACGCTCTATCCACTGAGCCAAACAGGTTAGGGCTGGACTAAATTCTTTATTATTCCAGTTACTTGGCCCCAAAACCCTGGGGTCATCCTTGACTCCTCCTCTCTCACATCCCACCTTCAAACCATCAGCAGTTCCCTCAGTTCTGCCTTCCGATTACCTGTCTAGAATCTGGCCACCTCTGACTCCCCCTTCGCCTGCCCTCTTGCATTCCTCTCCAGCCCCCCTCCCCCCCCCCCCCAGGCTGGCCCATCCTCAACCACGACAACACCATGCACCTCAGGGCCTTGGCACGGGTGTCTGTGACCCTCAGAAACCTGCGCAGCTCACACCCATCCAGTAAGCAAAACGTTCAGATTAAAGACAAATATCAATTGGATTTTTTCTACTCAAGCTAACGCTGAGCCGTGGTTGGACGTTTCCTGGACTGCCTTGCGCGCTCCTTCCATTGTTTTCTGCGTCAAAGCAGAACTGGGGGAGGTGGGCCGCCACATGTAACCAGATCTTAGGGGGGCCCTAACCGGTTTGGCTCAGTGGATAGAGCATCGGCCTGCGGACTCAAGGGTCCTGGGTTCGATTCCAGTCAAGGGCATGTACCTTGGTTGCTGGCACATCCCCAGTGGGGAGTGTGCAGGAGGCAGCTGATTGGTTTCTCTCTCATTGATGTTTCTAACTCTCTATCCCTCTCCCTTCCTCTCTGTAAAAAATCAATAAAATATATTTTTAAAAAAAAAGATCTTAGGGGGGAGGCCGGCTTGGGGGCGAGCACACGAGCACTGCAGAGATAAGGGGGTGGAGGTGCCCCCAAACTGATGGCACTGCTGGGTGCGGGGCGGCTCTGGGCTTTTCTGGCACACAGACCAAGGGACACCCCTTCTGCTTAGGTGTCTGTCACTTGCAACCAAGAGTCCTAACTGTCCCCTCGGGGCTCCCAGTCTCCTGCTCCCAATGCAGCGGGAAGCTGGCTCCCCTGCCCTCCCGGCGAGGGCCAGGAACTGGGGCTTCCTGCAGGGGTGAGGGGCACAGGTGGGGCGTTAACCCGCTTCAGTCCCCTGGGCCTGTGGGCCTGGCTCCGGCCCCTCTGCTTCCTGGAGCCCCTTCTTCCCACCCTCAGGCGGCCCTGCAGCTTCTGATAACCGCACTATCCTCTCTGAGCTCGAGCCCGCCCTGGGGCGGGGCCCAGATAAGCCTCCCGGGCCGGGCCGCCCAGGCCCGCAGAGAGGGAACAGGGCGCCGCCCGTCTCATCATCAGACAGCACCGCGGGGCTGCGGGAGGGGGGGCAGGCGCCGCTTGGGAAACCCTCAGGCAAAGCCCCGAGGCCACGATCGTCATCACAGCTGCCGCTTACTCAGGATTACCACACACCGGGCGCCGGGCCAGGTCTGCCGTACATGGTCTCCCGGGATGTGGGGAGGGGATTGCCCCGAAGCCACGGCCCCTCCCTTTCTCGGCCCCACCTCTGGGCTCTTGTGCAAGGGTTTCAGCCCTTTTCACCAGCAGGATTACGGGACATGCGGCAGGTAACAGGATGGATTTTGTTCCAAACTCTCCACTGTCAGCAACTAAAATCTCCCAGGAAAGTTAACGGACTGGGGTTACTTTTTAAGCCCGTCGCAGCTGCCAACACTCTACTCCAACTGTTGCCCCTTAGTCATCCAAAACGACATAAAATCAAAACAATTACTGAGCTGGGACGCTGTGCCAGTGACTGGTGTGGGCACTGGAAATCCAAAGGTGAGTGAGGCACAGTTATGCCCCGTGGCTCGCTGCCATCCTAATAATAAAAGGCTAATATGCAAATCAACTGAACGACAGAACCACCGGTCACTATGATGGGCACTGACCAGCAGGGGGCAGACACTCAATGCAGGAGCTGCCCCCTGGTGGTCAGTGTGCTCCCACAGGGGGAGTGCTGCTCAGCCAGAAGCTGGGCTCATAGCTGGCGAGTGCAGCGGCGGTGGTGGAGCCTCTCCCGCCTCCGTGGCAGCGCTAAGGATGTCCAACTGACCGACTTGGCCTGCTCCCACGGGGCCAAAGCCATCAGTCGGACATACCCCGAGGTGGGCTCCCAGTCTGTGAGAGGGCACAGGCTGGGCTGAGGGACTGCCCCCCCTGAGTGCACGAATTTCGTGCACCCGGCCTCTAGTAAGTGCTATAATAGAGGAACAGTTGTGGCACAAAGTAAGAGAGGTGAGGGGCAGAGCTAACTCCATAAAGTGAGGTGGATCTTGAAGAAGAAAAAAAGTTAATGGGCTGGAAATGTAAATTTAAACAAAGGTTATTATTATTTTTTTAAAAAAGAAATGAAAACGCATATTCACACAAAAAGCTGTACATGGATATTCACAACAGCTTTAGTTTTTAATGGCCAAAACCTGGGGGAAACCAGCTGTCCGAAGCAGCACATGGTAAACACTCAAATAAAAAGGCACAAATTACTGAGCCACCAGGTGACCTGGGTGCATTGCAAGAGCCAGTCGCCAGGTGTCACACAGTGATTCCATTTATATGCGATTCTCTAAGTGACGGAGGGACAAAATTATGGTGGAGACCAGACAGGTGTGGCCAGGAATTGGCGGGGAGGGGTGACCACTATGGACCAACACGGGGATTTGTTTGTGTTGAGGGAACAGTTCTGCATCTGCTGATGATTCCTCAAATCTGCACTCCCGCTGAAATGCCCAGGAACCATGTACACAACCACAAGTGCATGTTGAAACCGGTGACATCCCAATAGGGCTCATCATTTACCTAATGGGGTTGCCACAGGGAAATTTCCTGATTTTGACAATCTGTGAGGTTACGGTGACCTGTAAGACACGGGGGGACCTGGGTGAAGGGTACATAGGAACTTGTTACAAATTTTGCAACTTCCGTGTCTTAACTATTTCAAAAATAGGTTATAATTTAAAGAGGAAAGAAGACATAAATGAAAAACCAGGCAAAGTAACTGCAACATATATCATAGAGCAGGAGACACCACCAATAGATACAGAGCACCTCTATGTCAATATGAAAATAATACCCAACCAATAACTGGACAAATATCAGGAAGTTCCGAGAATTTAAATGTCCATATTGGATCCTACTCATAATCAAATAAATTCAGATTAAGACAGCATGGAACCCTAGCCAGTGTGGCTCAGTGGATAGAGCATTGGCCTGCGGACCAAAGGGTCCTGAGTTTGATTCCAGTCAAGGGCACGTACCTTGGTTGCAGGCTCCTCCCTGGCCCAGACCCTGGTCAGGGCTCATGCAGAAGGCAAACAATTGATGTGTTTCTCTCACACCGATGTTTCTCTGTCTGTCTTTCCCTCTCTCTAAAAATCAATGGAAAGATATCCTCAGCTGAGGATTAACAACAAATAAACCACTTAAAAAAAACAAAACAGCATGGAAATACTAGTTTCCACTCATCGTGCTGTTACAGAATTTACCAGGCGACCGAAAAAAACACGCAGGAGCACCGGAGGCACAGGAAAAACCCACTTATTTCCAGCATTTCACACGCGCCGGTCCAGTGACTCAGGGGCGTCTGTTTCTCGCCAAATCCTGAGCCCCAGCACGGAGGAGGCTTTCCCTTTTTGTATTCTCCAGGTCTCTTTGTCTCCCAAATATGGATTATACTTCCGGACCTTTCTAGGGCTTTGCAAAAGGCCCCGTGTGTTGGGATGGGGGTAGTGGGACCACATCTCAAGGCCTGGCCTGGCGCTAGCACTGATAACTCCGTCTGGGGATGGTCTATGGCCTCTCTAAAATGGGAGTAGTATTTTGGGTCCACAGGCCTTGCAGGACCAGATAATTAAAGGGGCAGTGACTAGATTCAGATTGCTAGCCCCCCCGCCCCCAAATGTCTCATTTTCCCCATCAGTACCATTTTATTACAATCAGGATATTTATTTGTTTATCTAATTTATTGGGGTGACATTGGTTAATTATATAGCTTTCAGTATACCGTTCTATAATACATCAACTGTA